ATTTCATTCTGTCATAAAAATGTTACCATCTGTGAAATAAAACATGTGCATCAAAGTTCTATTTCTTAACATAAATGTGGGCATAATTTTGTATATCTTTCATTCAGCTAATCCATTAATAATTTGCTGTAATTTTAATGGTTTTTTCCATGTTAACATATTCAATTTATAATATTCTATTTCAAAATCGCTCTTGTTTTTATTCTATAAAGCAGCAAATGTAACTTGTACCTTATAAAGTGCCTTGTAACTAAACATAGTTGGTCATTGGCAATTTATGGTGTCTTACATTCAGTTTCAGTTTCTTCCATGTAGCTTGTGGTACCTACTGACTCCTGCAAGGCCCCTCTGGAACCCTGAAAGTAATCCCAGTACATTTGATTTGTTTGTATCAGTGTGTTATATCCATCTGAACACTCTTGTCTTCAGAATTACAATCCTTTGAGGTAGAGTAGGGTCAAGAGAGTGCAACTGTCCACTTTCCCAGTGAACTTGCATAGCTGAGGGTAGACCTGAATCTGAGCCTTCTCAGTTCTGCTCCAGCACAGACCCTGGCTAGGTCTCTGTGAACATATGCAGGTTTCAAGGTTCATCTAGATGGCATTTTTTAAAGGGTACAAATGCAAATCCTGCACCAAGTCTGGCTTGAGCAAGAATAAAAATGATGATCCCATTAAAAGGGTGACACTTGAGCCTAATCAGGTTATTTTAGAAAAACAGTAAGGTTTAAATGATTATTCAACAGAATGCACCTATTGCCAAGTCTAGTCCACTGCTGGCTATTTCTGTTCAGGACACACCACCATTTATGAACAGAGTAGCAATGTAATAATAAAGCAATGCACAGAAGTAAATTCTTCTTACAAAATTGCTTTTTTGCTTTTAGCGGTGGAAGCCCAGATGGTGCCTTAGCCATTTTAGCAATTTTAGATTCAGCTGTAACTCTGCTGCTGAATACGCATCTCTAAGAATAAGTTCCAATCAAAAGCCACATATATATCTGTTTGAGTGTGTGTGCACGTGCATGCATGTGTGTGCGTGTATATATGTATTTAATGGGTTAAGGTAGTAATAATGAAAGTGCCACTGCAGTGATAAAATAACAAAAAGCCAGTTCCACCTGACATTTTGACTTATGTCCTTAAGATGCCATTGTTTAATTTTTATAGAATCTTGTGCTTAAAATATTTAAGCAATAACACCATGTAATAAATTACATTAACAAGTAATGTAATTTATTACATGGTGTTATTGCTCAAATATTTTATGTAGGTTTGCAACTTGCCAAGAATTTTTCAGTTATTTAGCAGAATAGAAGTCTTACAATTAAATGATTAAATAAAGGGCAAGAGGTTGCCTGTGGTATATACTAAACCATAGAACTAGATCTCTATACTAAGTAGCCACAATGGCAAAGAATACCCAGATGAACTGGTATGAGACTGTGTTGAATTCAAACATCCCCTGGCCAGATCACGTGCAAGAGGGCAATGTTTTTCAGGACAACCCTTGAATTTATGGAAAGGATTTAGGACCATCCTCAGCTAAGCTGCTCTAGGCTGGCTGGGCTTTGGATCTGGTGTAACAAGGATGTTCCCTTGACCTTCCCCTTGACCACCACTTTCCGGCTCTCTCCAGATCCCTCTTTCCTGGTGGTGGTGGGGCAAACAGCCACAGCCATTCAGCCTTGTCAGGACTGAGCCAAAGTCTGTTCCACCCTTCCAGACCTGAGCAGCCTCAGGACACTGGGCCATATGAATGAATGAATGAATGAATGAATGAATGAATGAATGAATGAATGAATGAATGAATACACACACACACACACACACACACACACATAAATATAATAATATTTGCTGAATATATTTGCTGAAAGACCCTGAAGTCAACCAAGGATAAGACAACTGAAAGCACCAATATAAATCATAATGGATATTCAGACTGAGTAGGCAGATTCAATCTTGGCAAGGTGGTGCCTGGGGTATTCTGGCACCATGTCATATAGGGCTTTAGAGGTAATGAACAGCACCTTGAATTGTGCCTGGAAGCCCAACCTGTGCAGCAATTATATCCATGAATTAAGCAATCTTAAAACTGGAATTATTCTGCAATGGCAGGATTGTTCACCAGCACTCTGCCCACTGCATTTGATATCAGCTGAAGCTTCCAAGTTGTGTTTAAAGGGAACGCCACAGAGTTCATTACAGTAGTCCAGTTCAAGAGGGATCAGAGCATGAGTTACTGTTGCCAGGGAATCCTGGTTCAGGTAGGGCCATAACTGGCATAGCAGGCAAAGCTCAGCAAAGACTCCCAGGGCATGGATCCACATCTATTTAATGAACAGCTGTGAGTCCTGGAGGACCCCCAAGTCACAGATCATCTCATCCAGGGAGAGTGAGACCCTGACAAGAGTAAAGAATCAAGAATCACCATCAGGGCTAATGTTGTTGGATTGCCCAGATATTTACTAACAATAGCATCTTTGTCTTGGTAGGATTTTATTTTATTGATTGATTGAAGGAACTTATATGCCACCTGCCTCATATAATGATTATAGGTGACTCACAACAATCAATAGAAACTGAAGTAAAAACAAAACTACCCTTCCCACCAGGCGCCAGACCAAGCAGACTATTGATCTCCTAATTCAACCCCCATCCTAGCCCAATGCTTGGGGGAAGACCAGGTCTTCACAGCCTTCTGGAAGGCAAAGAGTAGGGACCCCTCAGATATCAGATGGGAGGCAATCCCAAAAGGCTGGTATGGTCACCAAGAAGGTGCACCTCTGAGGTCCCATCAGGTAACAACATTTAAAGGAGGGGACCTGGAATGGGCCTACCCTATCTAACCTGAAAAAGGAAAAATTCTGATTTTTTTTTCACCCATCCAGCTTTTTGTTAATGGGTATGTCCTTGCAAAATCATATTCTCATCTTAGATCTCCTAAGATCTCACCCTAAAACATTGTTAGATTTGGCACTCACAAGATTTGGGGTCTTTTTAAAAATAACTATTCTATATAATTTATATTTAGCTTTAGAGTTCCAAAGCAC